TGAGCAGATCCTGTACTACATCAGAGAGCGGAAGCAGCAAGGTCTACCCCTCACCCTCTGGATCCAAAACGTCCCCCACGGTTGTAAGACGCGCGTGGGCGACGACAGACTACGCGCGTGCCGCTGGTCAGGCTGCCCGGCTTACAAGGGTACCATCCTCAAAGGCTTCTGGCGCGTCTGCTTCGACGAGCGGCCCGAAACCTCGGGGAAGCAGCATGATCCGTACCACAACGCGGGCTACATGCACTTGTGGTGCATGGATCGCTGCTTCGATCTCCTCGAGATTGCCCAAGCATTCGACCTGAAGCCCGATACACGCTACTTTGAAAAGGAAGAACGCAACCCCATGGCCATGATCCGTGATCACGACGAGCTGGTGATGGAGTTCGAAGAGTGGCGCACGTCCCAGCAGGCTGCCTACGAAGAATGGCAAAGGTCGGCAGAGACGAACAAGATGATGGGCCTCCCCGTTCAGAACCGCCAGGTCGGCCGAGAAGCCAAGCTATGGTACGTGCTGACGACCAAGCACCTGGCGCTGGAGACTCCGGTGCGGAGCAACATGCGGAAGAAGAGAAACGGCATTTCTATTGACAAGCACAAGGGCGACCTCGACTGGTACGTGGAGAGAGTCAACGAGAAAAAGGTATCCAAAAAGGGGCACTCCATCGTCGAGGAGCTTGACAGCGACGACGATGAAGGTGGCCAAAAGACTCCCGCGACCAGGGCGGCCCGTCCGAGTATCATCGAGAAGAGAAAGCGCGAAGTATACGAGTATGACGACAATAACAACGCCTCTCAGCCCCAGACAGCCGCTACTCGGAACAAACGTGTGAAACAGTCGTGCTATTCACCCGTTGAAAGACGTTGATCATTGATGCCTTTGTTTATCTTACCCTGAGGTGAATGACCATGCGCCTCCAAAAAGTCTTTGTAATTTGTGGCCACATTGGGATGTTTGTTTTCTGGACCGGAGCAAGGGGGTTGCTTCACACGACTGCGGTTAGCATAGGATTGATACCCCATATTAGTATAGATGCACCCAAGAGGGCGGGGAGGAGAAGCGGATAAAAGGCCTGGTCTGAACCCTTAACGAATCAACGATACAGACCAACCTAGTATCAACATGATTAATAACAGATCTCTAACCCAAGACTTGAGTGCATTTCCCAAGTGACAAGCGTGAATCCTGACTCACAATCCAGGCTCTTGCCAAGGGTCCTGGAGCTGGGGCCGGCGCGGCCGCCATGCGACGGTTCCAAACGGCCGGACGGCAGGCTGCGGCCGAGAGCACACGCCCGCGCTAAAGGGCCTCGAATTGACCCTAGAAAGATGGGAAAGTTCGGACAAGTGCTGTTCACAGGTGCTAGGAAGCGGGCGCCAAAGGAGCCGGATGAGGTTTTGGTTTAGGAGCCATGGCTTGGGGCACTTTAGCTGCGGAGCCCTCAACATAACAGAGTTTCGATTAAGAGAAGCGGGATGGAGGGGCCGCAGAATGAACTGGGGATGACCGGAAGCGGTGACATGGTGTGAAGACCATTTTGCGTGGATGATGGAGACTTGGGCAGCGAATTGGCAACGCCGTGGTCTGTACAAAGTATCCCGGTAGCCATAGACGGGCAGAAGCTGAACAGACTCGAGGAGGACAGGTGAAGAAAGGGCAGGTCGGCGAAGGTGAAAGCGGGCCGCGGCGTTGGTGCGAATGAATCGTAGCTCTCGCGGCCCGCAGGTAAGAAACGTTGGCGTGCGAAAGCGCGGCGAGGCCGAGGGGAGTAGGGGCGCTAGTCCCAAACGGAGATGCTACGATGCAGGAGGGCGCCGTGCAAGTAAGATGGTACGGAGTCGTATCGTCTCGACAGAGCCGCTGGATCGATTCCTATTGAATGGCTTATGGATCTCGTGCTCCTCTAGATGTAAGGCAGGGCTCGGAGGGCCAGAGGAGGGCAAAACACTGCGTGCGCGTTGGCGGGGGCGGGGGCGGGAGCCCGGCGGCTGAAAGAGGTGTCTATCTGTGGTGTGTAAGGTATGTCAGTCAATGTTCGGGATGAGATAATGTGAGGGTGTTGAGCTCATGTGAAAGTACAAATAGAGAGGCGAGTTTCTTGCAGTCACAGTCATGGCTGATTAGAATAGCCAGCCCATCCTTGCGAAATAGCAAGCCAGTCGGCTTGGAGTATGGTTCTCGACGAATTCGATGTGGTAGTTTTGACTCAGACAACGACCAAAGTAAATCTTGACTGACTTGTTACCTTGTTTCCCCCTCTTCTTCCATCGTTCCATTTTTGTTCTTTGGCTTTGACAGTTTGCGACAAAAGGCAAAAGCCAGTCACGATTCATCGCATTAGGATCCCAGATACGTGCTACGGGAAGCACGGCGGTGGTTGCCGTCGGGAAGAGGGTTCAGAGTGCCTGATTCGCTTCATCCCATTATCGAGCTTCGAGGGGCAACTTGGGATTGTCTTGGTGCGGCATCGAAGCCCGCTCATCCCCGCGAGCAGTCGGCGATCGGACATCAGACGGCACAGAGCTGGAACACTGGGCTGAAGCTTAGCCCCGAAGGGAGGGCATCGGGTGATCTTCGACAGCGTCTTGGACGGGACCTTGCCGACATTCGACAAGCACGAAAGCCGAAACAGGATTTGATTTGGCAGTATTGGCCGAAGAGGGCGTTGTCGACACGAAAATAGCCTAGGGAGCACATTGGCTGCAATTGAGTTTGCGGTGACGAGAGGCTCCAAGACAGGAAGAGGCAGATGTGCAGCCGAAGAGCAAAATTGAATTTGGAAGAACAACGAGCGAGAATTGATGCGACGACACCAAAAAAAAGGCTACGACACGTCGACACCACGTTGCGCAGAGTTGAGAGTTTGCGTGGAAGGTGCTTGTCACGTTGCGCAACGAGTTGCACCTGTTGTTAAGATTGGAAGGCACCTCATGGACTGGGGAAACCATCAAAGGAACGAACCTACCTGCCTTACACGTTACGGCACCTCAACCTGTTGCCTTTAGGCAATTACGCGTTGGAGATTTACAACTGGAAGGTTCCGCCCATTTACAGATACCTTGCCATAGATTGGCCCGACATTCGATCCTACATCTTTCGGGAAGTCACAGCCAGGGGGTCTGTCATTGTGCTTTCCTCTTTCTGACTGTTGATTCCATGCTGGGAGAGGGTTTGGGTACCTTGAGGGAGAGAAAACAGACAACAAGCAGCAAGAGCAGCACGATTGTAGTGCACGAGCCAAGTGAGCACCTACCTTTACCCGACCTATCGGACCTAAAGCTGCAGGTGCGAGCAGTGGCACACGAGGGTTGTTGCCGCAACAGAGTTCCGGTCCTTGCCAGTAAGCAGGAGCGGCTCACCAGGTTGACTTGCAGGAGGCAGGAGGCAGAAGTGGAAAGTAAGAGCTGCTGCTGCTGCTCTGCTCTGTTCTGTCATCACGTCTCAGGATCGGGACTTGCAAAAACTCGTTATTGAAGTGGTGTTTGTGGTATCGTTTCCCGCGCATTCCGACCACACTCAGCAAGCGCAAATCCTCCTTCTGTCTGTGGGAGAGAAGAAATCGCTTTCGCAGACATTTGGTGGCCACTCTACGCTTCCTGCACGCTTTTTTTTTTTTTTTAACCTTAGCAGACCACCTCCAAAAGTCATCCCTCCATCCATCCCCGAATCCCTCCACCTGGGCATCCATCCCACCACCCAACTCAGCATCCCCCTTGACTCCCCTTGAGTCCCTGGCCCATCCACGTTCCTCGTTGTCACTGCACGTCGCATAATACCTTACCTTACTGCGTACTGCACAGCAGCTGCACCCGACCGAGGTCGCTTACGCTCACTCTCACACACATTGCATCGCATTCGCAGCTGCAACTCAACTGCACCGCGCACCCGCGTTGCCTTGCTCTTCTGTCGTCACGTCAAAGCAACTGGTCTGTACTCTCTCCGTCACCCATCTATTCGATCCTGAACAATTCCAAAGCAACAAAACCATTTGAAAAACCACCCTGGCTATCGGACTTAAACAACGCTCGACCGCTGCCATCCGCACCGATTCCACACGCCCGCACCGCGCCCGCCAAAGACAAGACCCGGCCAGCTGCTCCAGCTCCAGCTCCAACTCCAGCTCCCAGGAGCTCTCCACTCTCCAATTAATACCGTACAGAAGCACCGCTGGCTGGGTCACCACTCAAACCCACCTATCCCGGTAGCCACGACGTCGGCCTTCGGAGAAGCCGTCCATCTCATCTCGAGATCCATCCGCTTCGCCTTTTCTCTTTCCCTCTCTGGCTTGGCTGTGGGGAAAAGACTGTCAAGAAGGGATCTTTGAAAGAGACAAGATCCAGAAACCGCAAAGGGGGTGGTAGGCGCAAACATCAGGCCTGACGAGAGCCCCAGCCCTGTTTCGTTCCGACCTCCCTCCATCAAGATCGCAAAACTGTGTCTTTCTCCCGTCCATCGTCTAACTTATTCTTTCTTTCAACCTTCTTACATACTTCGTCTCCCGGCAACCTTACGCCCGTCATTGCGTCTCCACGCACATCAGCATCCAATCCGCCAAGCCTACCGAGTACCTACTGACCTCTTATTGCCGACCTACCTTGTCTGTAAAGACGCCAAACCAACCACTCACCGACGACACCCTCACCCCGCGCTCACCGACGATCTCACTCACATTGCAGATTCCAGATCTGTCAGCCCCTGCAAACCAACCATCAAATCCCACCGGAGCGCGCGTCTCTGTACACTACGACTGATCGCATCTTCTCCACCAACCCAGAACGAAGACCATCACTGCGTCGCATGCCAATTCTCATCTGCCGTGCCGTTCCGTCTTGTCTACCACAGGCCCCATTACCTCATCGTGGCATTGGCAGCCCGTCTAGGCGGGGTGGTGGCTTCGTAGAGGCGGCATTGGCTGCGCTCTCGGCATTGGAAGGAATTCTAATTCTATCAACCCTCTTCGCGACTTATTCTCTCGTTTCGCATCAACAGCTAGCCCGCCATGGAAGACACAAATGGGGAGAAGTCGGAGAATTTCCGTCGGCCGGCCTTGCAGGTCATTGTCCTGGTACGTTCCACTCTCACATCTCACGTCTTTTGATGCGCCTCACTGCCGACTTTCGACGTCGCAGATCGCGCGCGTTCTCTTTCACATCCCCGAGGCTTGTTGGGCCCCGACGTCTCGAGTGTGTCTCTCCTGAAGCGAGGAAAAGTCCCCCCACGAGATCATCCCGACTCGGCCGCCCGGCGCATATCCTCTTGTCATTCATGCAGTCGACTTTTTCGGGTTGCGCCAACCGCACCGAATGGGAAATCCATGCTGCAAGCACTTCAACCCCTGGAATCTTTGCAAGTGCAACAGCATTGGACGAGGGAGAGCCGGCAGTTCTTCTTCAACACTTTGCGCAAGCGACTGAAGATAGACACATCTTTCAATGCGACGGGAGTGACCTATCGCTTCTTAGCCAGGATCCCCTCAAAGAGTGGCCCCATCATGTCCGCACCTCCGCTAACCCAAATTTCTAGGGTGCCGGCGGCGGTCCCCAGGAATCAAATACTACCGCTCTTCTAGTTCGCTCAGTCGCCTCGGGGTGGACAAAAGGCTCCATCATCGCCGTAGATGCCGGTGTTCATCTTTCGGCTATTACTCGCATTCTTGAAGAAACGGCACCTCCAGGCCTCGGCACCCAGCTTCCGCTCCCCCACACCCTTGCCTCCGGGCCATTTGCAGGCCTGCAGCTTACACCAAACAGTCAGCTGGAGGTCGCAACAGGCGCAGTGTATCCATCGTCCATCGCCTCATTCATCACTCGTACTCTTATCGATACGTATGTGATTACTCATCCTCACCTCGATCACATCTCCGGCTTCGTCGTGAACACGGCAGGTCTTACCAGGCCCAAGCGCCTTGCCGCATTGCCCTCAACGGTTAACGCTCTCAAAACTCACATCTTCAACAATGTTATTTGGCCCAACTTGTCCGACGAAAGTAACGGTGCAGGCTTAGTCACGTATACCCGGCTAGTAGAAGGAGGGTCGCCAGCCATTGGCGATGGCGAGTCTAAAGGATATCTAGAGGTTGCGGATCGCCTCGCTATCAAGGCGTATTCTGTTTCACACGGTCACTGCATTGAGCGACACCCACATCGCGGCTCGACCTCCTCCACTGCAACACCTCTACGATATCCTTCTGTCGATGCCGCATCCATGGCGTCACCGCGCATACTGCCATACGGCCTGGCCTCGAGCACCGCGCATATCCCTCGAGCAGCATCGGTTGCGCCGGAGCCGCAGGCCAGTGTATGCGTTTACGACTCCTCGGCTTACTTTATCCTCGATATGGCTACTAACCTAGAGATACTCATCTTTGGAGACGTCGAGCCGGATTCTATGTCACTCTCCCCTCGAAACTTGACTATTTGGGAAGAAGCTGCTCCAAAGATTGTAGCTGGCCAACTTGCTGCCATTTTCATCGAATGTTCATACGACGACTCGCACTCTGATGATCGCTTATTTGGTCATCTAAAACCCCGCTATGTGATGGAAGAGATGCACGCATTGGCTCAGACTGTTGAGGAGGCGCGAGGAGATGCCCATGCCTCCCGGAAGCGGAAGCGTGTAGCAGAACCCGACACGATCCCACGACGAAGGACAGGAGGCGCCTTTTCGCGCCTTGCCGGCGGCGATGAGTCCCCAATCAGCCCCAAATCAGTGGCCAAGCGTGCTGTGTCTGCAGACATTGGCCACGTACCGCCACTGCCGCCCGCTGCTACATCGGTAGAGAGCCCACATCTGACGACTCCTACACAGGAATTGTCTTTGCGCGAGGCTGAAGGATGGAGCGAGACGGAGGATGGGCACTCCAAGGGCCCACCTCTCAAGGGTATCAAAGTTGTCATTATCCACGTCAAGGACCGCCCAGATGGAAGGGACCAAGGAAAACTTATTCTGCAGGAACTCGAGGCCTACGAAGCCGACGCCCAGCTGGGCTGCGAGTTTATCGTCTCCCACGCGGGGCAGAGTCTCTACCTTTGAAATATTGTGGGTGGCGTTTAGGCGCAGGGTGTTCTAGATGTTGATTCCACGAAGATATGATTTTCATGAAGTTCTCATGATGAGGATGAGTGCAGTGGGGGGATTATCTTGGAGTTTTCATGGGCAGATAAGAGGAGGCAAGGGGATATATATACCATGTATTTACGCGCACCATTTGTCGCATTCTATATATCCATCGGTGGCCGTGATGATGACGGGCCGCCGCGTTTTGTTTGGATGCCACCTAATTTCTATGTATTACATCTCGGGGGCGCATGCGCATCGTATTGTTGTTGATTCTCTCTGACACCACTTGTACCTGGATAAACAACTGTGCGTCTTGGTTCTTGAATGACGCTCCGTTGAGTCTCTATTGCTTACTCTTCTTGAGCTTCTCATAGCCTTCCTCGCCACCAATGTTGCCATCCCAGTCGGCTCTCGGAATTTCCAAGACCTCGGTGGTGCGGCCGTAGGTGATGCCTCCTAACCTGCTGACAGGGCGGAGTACCTGAGGGATATCAAGTTAGATTCCAGTTTTCCACGAAACCCACCCAGAAGAGCTGGGGAGTCCTCCAAGGTTAAAGATGGACAAAGACTTACAGTAGGATCGACAATGTTCTTCTGCTCATTGATAGCATCCTCCCTCACCCAAAAATTGACGCCCTCAATAAACGCAGTAACACCGCTCTTCTTGCCCGGGGTAGCGCGCGAATCCCACTCTTTCACAAAGTCGAGCTTCCCCTCGACGCTGAAGACGGCCTCCTTCACACGCGCGGCCTGAACGTGCTTGCAGTCGTACACGGGCGTCAACCCACTCACATCCCACTCCGATTTCCCGTACGGCGCATTAACGGACGTCGAGTTGGCGGCCTCGAGAAAGCCCTCGGAGATGATGTTGATGACGCACTCTTTGCTCTCGAGCAGGCACTTTAGCGAATCTTTGGGTTTCTCGATGGATGCGGCGAAGCCCACGACGAACATTGGCGGATCGTGGTTCACCATGTTGAAGTAGCTGAACGGCGCTAGGTTCGTCACGGTGCCATCTGCGGAGCGGGTGGAGAGGAAGGCGATGGGGCGCGGGGTGATGGCGGAGATGAGGAGTTTGTAGTTGAAGCCTGCCGGGCGGCCTTGGGCGTGGGGATCGATTGCTACGTGTGGTGTCGAGAGGCCGGGCTGGCCTAGGGAGTTTGCGCCGGAGCCGAAGGACCAGTCTGGGGAAATTGTTTTTGTGAAAGTGATGGAGGCTTCGGTGTTGAAGGGCGGGCGGGTGGATTCTACGGATTTGAAGTCCGGGTGGGGGTTGTGGGTTGCTTGGGTGCCGCCGGCGAATTTGTTGTTGTTTTGGGATGTCATTGTGAGGGTTCTGGAGGCTGCTGTCCTTGAGAGTGCGAGCGTGGTTTTGTTGGTGATGGCTGGGAGGAGGGTACGGAGGGCGGTGCGCGATGACATTGTGGGATGCGGAAGTTGTAGTGGTTTTTATATCGTCGGGATTACGGAACGGGAGTGGAGGAGGAGGGCGCAAGCCAGAATTGCGATTGCGGGATGCGGGAATCCACTTTTCACTTGCTTGACGGGGGGGTAATGATATGGACGTGGAAGCTTTGGGTTTGGTCTCCCCTTTCTTTCTGGTCTACTTTACTCGCTCAAACTTGCGGCATGTTGCTTACGGATGCTTGCTTTGCTAGCTTACCTGACCTTGCCGTAAGGCACCCGATACCTACCCTGAGCCGGACCCCCCCCTTTCGAGTTCTCGGATGGTGGAGTAGATGCCGAGGGGGAGGGTAACGGTAGTGGGGTGACGTGGAGGTTCACACCAAAAGTTCACCTTGTCGAGTTGTCACCAACGAGGGGCATTTGGAGGGGTAACGTGCAGGGATCGGGGTGTGGTCCTTGTCCCTGATGATGCAATTGACTTGGTGGTTGGGGTCGCTTGATGCATTACCCGGTGATGAATTTGACTGGCTCATACTAAGGTATTTGGAAATATATCTACACCTGGTAGGTCCCTTGACGGCTTCCGGTTCGTCTTCCACATGGCGATTGACAAATTGGCTATTGGTAATTAGTTATCGTTCCGTCCGCTGGGCCGGAAGCGTGTCGGGGGATGGAAATCGGAACTCGGAAGGGTCTTGGGTCTTGGGTCTTGGGTGATGGGTGCTTGCATGTGGAGAGAGAAGAAAGACTTGCCTTGGAGCGTGTGGAGGAGGTCCAAGTGCCTGGTTGATAAGATAGAGTTATCAAGATAAGCTTCTTTGTCAGCTGTCAGGCACACTCAGGTGCAGATACTTCCTTTTTCACGAGGAACCTTTCCAATGGAACACATGCTTTTCAGGAAGAGGAGACATGAGTACCTAGCTGAACATTAAAATATATGTAGGCGAACTAGACATGGCGCGATGTCTTGAGGTCAGAGAATGCAAAAACACCACAGTCTCTCTCTTATGTTTTTGATCGATTGGCGAATCATCAACTCTAACCGTGAGGAATTTCAAAGCACCTGATTCTGAGTTTGGATCAGGGCTCTTTGGCTGTGTGCTTGACTCTCCTTCTTATCTCTGGAGCACACAGGCTGTGTATGCTGCCCTGGGCTTTTTATGTTGTTGAGGGCTGGTTGTAGCGCGCGTGCGCATCTGCTCTGAGATGAAAGTGTCTCAACGGCCGAGCGCGGGGGCGGTAGCACGGGAGATGCCAAGCGATGGGATGCGAGACGCTTAGCTCGAGACACGGATTCGATGGGTTTGGTAAAAGCCCATATGCAGATGAGTGCATAAGTTTCCATTGAATTTCGCGTTGAGGGCCAGAGAAACGTAGAGACGAGGGGATTGGAGACAAGTGATTCCTCTCCAGAAGGCATTGGTCACCAGCCTTTGGTATGGATGATCAACCAACAGGAGAAGCTCCGTGGGGGGACGGAAAGCCGCCTCAGCACACTTAGGTGTTCAGGTATTTCCAACCCCGTCACTACACAGTAGGTACTCACCGTGCTCTTCCACGAGGTCCCTTGTATGTACTTGATTACTGCTTCCCCCGCCATTCCCGTCAATTGGGCGTGTGGCATGGCGGCCCTCCTCCGCAGCGGGCATTGGCTCTGTTTCGCATGCAAGGACGCACCGCGGCGGTCGATGGAATGCCTCCGGGTGTTTGGCCACGCCTTTGCAGGAATGGAACGCTACTCTGTCCCACGTCTACTCTGATTTGCGTGGGGAGCAGGTATGTGCGACCTCAACAATCCGAGCGTGCGTGCAGATGCATGTACCTTGGCCAAAACGAGAGATATATAAGGTATATGTCGACAAGACGCCCTCGTTCAACCTCCATAGCTAAAAAGCTAAGAAAAGAACCCCCCTCTGAACTCGAAAGAGCCATCCCTCAAGGGAAGAAAGAAAAAAACACATCTTGAAAAACAGAGTCAACCGCCAAGAACTCCAGTTCATCACATCATGACCGCAATCCGCTCCTCGTCATCAGCCCTCCTCCTCCTCGGAGGCGTCGCAACCCTACCCGGCGCCGCTACAGTCCGAAGCCAGTTCCCGCAGCGGAGCAGCACCACACTCTCCACTACCACGGCAGAGCAGGCCGAGTTGGGGTACATGCAGCAACCACTCGGCCCCGCCAGCAGCCGAACCACGACCCACACTGCCGGGAACGCGAAGCGTAGCGGCGGCGGTGCTTCGGGTCTTGGATGGCAAGCTACACAAGCGTTATGACTGCCCCGGACGGCGGCGCAGGTTGTCACCATGTCTACGACGACGATTCAGGCGGCACCATTATCGCCAAGGGAGAGAGATAGAGGTGCCGCGGCTGGCTTCCGGTATAAGTCTGCCGAGGAGGTTGTGGCGGTTGTTCTTGGAAGAAATCAGCAGTATCAGAAGTACTCATTCTCGCGGCCTGTGAGAAGAGATTAAAAAGTGGTTAACTGGAAGACTTGGGTTCATCAAAATTGCTGGTCAACGGTCAGAGTAAGGGAACTTGGCGTTCAAGGAATTATTTGGCGAAGAACGGTCGCTTTCGCAAGATTGACTTTCTAGCGAGCGATGCGGACAGAAACTGTCTGGTGTCATCACAAGGTATTGGGATCATCGATGGGGTCAATGGTTATGGGATTAGAATACCTAGAAGATGGGCAAATTTAGAACGAGATTCACGATGTCCATGTTCATAGCCCGTTGCATTATGTAATCACCCCAAAGATCTCAGGCAGATCTGACAAGAAATCACGTGCATCTGATAAGCTCTTATCGCCAAAGGGTCCTTTTCTGTGGGAAAGTTTTTTGGCCGACTGCAGTCACTCCCCGTCCCGTCCCACGTCGCCGTAACAGTCACCAAAATTCCAGCCAGTCAAGTCGATCATTTTTTTTTCTCCGTAGCTGCACGCTGCCCCTTCTCCAATGTGTTGATATCCACCAGTTAATTTTTTTGGTCGTCGCCCGTTTTTTGCCCTTTTTGTGAGCCTTTTCTGCGCTCCCCACACTCCTTCAACTTCATGTACCGTCCATACACCCAAAGGCATGTGGCGCAAACATTGAATAACTGTTTCCCATACACCTCGCTGTTTCCCCGGAAAGGTTCAGCCAGAGCCCTGCCATCTCCGTTCCTCCTAGCTGTCTCCTCTCGAGTGTCCTACCACAGCCGATCCAATAACAGGAAGCCAAAGCCTGTAGATTCCTTGGCCGACGCCTTTGAGTCAAGGTTCGAGAACAGGGTCGACAGCAAGTTTGATTCCAAGTTCAGGCTGAATATTGTCGATACCCGGCAGGCAAAGACTGGGTTCATCAATAGAGAAAACGGAGCCAAGCGTCGAACCTACAATAAGGACGTCCCGCTCGCCACCCCGAATTCTACCAGGACACCGTCCGCCGCTTTTTCTCGACGAGACGCCGAGCCCTTTGGCAGAGACGCAGAACCCTTCCGCAAAGACGAGTCCTTTCGCAGAGACGAGAAGCCTTTCCGCCGATACGAAGAGCCTTTTAGCAGGAATAAGGAACGCTACCACCGAGACG